TTTGGCCCATATGAGGTACAATTCTAGTGCAGTGTCCCGGTTATAGTCGGTGAAGTGAGTGGCGCTGGACTGTGCCTGCATGGCTACAGAACTGAGTACTGATCTGAGTGCTGAGTACTGAGCTACCACCGGGTAATCTGTCAATGCGTTTCAAAAGGCCGAAGTGTTTCCGAGAGACTCACTACGTTGAAAAGCGCGTTTTATACGTTCAAGATGTGTGAGAAAGACGCTGAAGATGCGAATTGAGATGATTATGGGCTCGTGAACGGTTTTTGGAGGCTGTTGAATCTCTGAATGGCCTCATATACCTCCAGCGTGTAGCCCCATCAATCATGCCACAATCACAAATTTTTTTTGATTATTGTGCATCTCTGGCCGGAAGGTGGCATCGAGAAGAGTCTACACCGTTTGTGCACGGACGATATGGCCCGTATGTTACCATATGTAGGAGTTCAAAGGCTCCATGCACTTGAATATCCTTTGTTCACGATCGGAAATTGCCGATAGTCGGGCCGAGGGTCGAGACGTTGATCAGGACTCTTCAACTCCAACTGCGATGTGCTGACGCATCATGTATGTCTCTTCGTCTCTCCATCGTCCTTGGGACCCGTTCATATAGACAGCTCCCTCAAATGTGGCCGAAAAATTCGTGCTAGGTCGCCAGAACCCAATAATCACGTCTTGATTCTCCAACTACTCACTGGTCTCCAGGCTGAGAGTGACTACGCCTCTACAGGCCTCATCTCCTCAGCGATGACAAGGCTGAGGTATGGAGAAGTGCAAAAGGTGCTCTGCCGAGTTCAGCTTGTCAGCTGGGTCGCTGACTGAGCTGCTTTGCGAGAACTTAACGCGGTGATAGCTCGTTATATGCTCTGTGAGTCACGACTCGGTAAGGATATTCGTGCTTTACATAGAGCCGAAATTTCTCCTAGCTGACTTCATCTCACTGTCTTCATCACAGATTCACGAATTCAAAAGATCCTGCCGCGATGTTTTGACGCGCCACATCTCATCGCTCAGGAAATAGCGTGATACTGCGATTTGGTATTGATCTAAAGCAAGGTTTGGCCGATACATCGCCAGATTGTCATCTCCGAGCTCTACAAATCGTTACCGGCGGGAGAGCGACTTTTTATATGGGCGCCACCTCCATATCAATGTCACTATCTTCGCTGAATTGATGGCCGAGTGATTCGATGGGGAACTTTATAAACTTGTTACAGTAGCAGCGTGTTGCTTCTATATGTCCTGTGAGTCAATTGAATCTTTCTTTGTGTCTTACAACTGGAAACGCCCTCCTAGAGTTTCTCATTGTATTTGTAGATGTATGAGCTCGGTGACCTTTACCCGATCTACAAGCATGAATCATGGTTCATGAAGAGATTGATGGAGTTTCTAGTTTCCTTGCAATCTCGATGCGACCTCGAAGGTTAAGACGCCTTTGTCCGCCTGGCGCCGCATTCTAACGTCCAGATATGTAGCAAGTTCGAACACTGGTTAGGGCTATTTTCTTGTGGATTTCCTTTGCCAATTCGTTCTATCAATAACGAAATAGCGCACTTATCGAGGCGATTATCACGGATATCTGACTACGAACGTTTGAACATCTCGAACGCCTCGACACAGTGTCAAGCCACTGCCAGAACGGAAAACCCGGTCCGCTACGGGCAACGGGCCGCTCAAGCACGAGGCAGGGACAGAGTGATCGGAGTTTGAAACAATTTTTTCAGGCGAGTGCTGTGCTGGCAGCTGGCAGTTGTTGATTCTCGCTTTGCTCTTCCCCATTGCCATCACCCATCATCAGATCACCCATCACCAGCAGGTAATAAGGGTGTAATACAGTGCAAAAATGTATGAAAGCGACAGGTGAGTTTCCCTGACATTATTTCACCACAATTGTCTTTTACTTCTTTCTCATTGTCGCGCGTCGCTCATGCTCTCTGTTCAGGCAGGAAAATCGGAATCATTCTTCTCCTGGAGCCGGTGGGTTACGGCTATCAACACCACCGCTGGGGACAGGTTCAACAGCGAATGGAACAGCAGTCATTGACCCTGCATTGGAAGGGGAGACTGGGGGTTCTGGAGCGCGATCTGGGGAAGCCGTCCCGCCAAAATTGAGACGATCTCCAGCACCCCCGCAAGCCGCTGTACGAAGAGCGAAGGAGAACGACTATAGTCCAGTTGAGGTAAGTTGCTCGTTCGCGTTTTCTCTCTTTCGTGTCACTGCAAGACCGGACTTTCCAAGGTTGCAGGAGAGTGCTGTCTATGTTACCGAAGAGAACGCTATACCTGTCATTCCTCGATGAAGTGCGCTCTTTCTTCGCAGGCTGGCCCATTCGTCCTGGTTTTACTCGGTTCACTGAACTGGCAGCCTCAGAACCATTGCTTGTGTTTATTTCAAGGCTATCTCACATGCCTTTTCGCCTTTTTGGAATGTGGCAGAAAGGTTGATTATCGTTTATTTCGCTTCGTAGGAACATCCAAATCTCTCGTCGAACTCAGCGGACCGGTCAACGATACAGCACCGTAGCATGCCAAACTCCAATTCTTCAAAACGTTCTGCCTCACCCGCCACCTCAGATGATGAATCCAGGCGACCAGGTTCCAGAAACGAAGAATCTCGCGGTCACAATGGTGCACACCACGAATCAAGCTATCACTACCCTCCAATGCACCCTGGACATCCTCAGTATCATCACGGACATGCGCCTCTTCCTCACATAACTCACCATGGCCATTATTACTCTCATCCACCACCCCCACCCCCGCCAGGCCTTCATGGCTATAGCTATTACCCTCCCCCTCCTCCACCAGGACATATTTTGCCCTACCCCGGACACCCGCACCAATTGCCCCCACCTCATTCGTACCCCCATTCACACCAACTTCCCCACGCACAATCACCGACCTCGCCTCACTCCCCGCACTCCCATCCATTACCGCCGCACAATCAATTGCCTGGTCACGGTCCCCTATCTTCACATAGCCCGCGCGAGACCTATGGTCCAGGAGGTTATGTTTCCGGTGCGCAGAGTAGCGGGTACTCTCAACCGGGCGGTAATGTCTATCCATCTGGCGGGGGTTCTCCCGGTTCGGGGGAGATCACGTATACCGAAGATGCTGCAACCAAGTTGAGCGATAGGGTCAGGAGAAGGTGCTTCAACTGTGGTACGATAGACACTAGCACATGGAGAAGAAGCAACTTGAACCCCGGGAAGGTGGTAAGTACGACTTGTTGACCTTACGGCCTCATGTTCTCATCGAACTCTTCTAAGCTTTGCAACAAATGTGGCCTCTTTGAGCGGACTCACTCAAGGCCACGACCCGAACAATTTCCCCATAAACGGGGTCCTCTGACAGGCACGATGTCACAAGATCGGGGTTCACCCTTGTCGCCCAACAGCAATGCCTATCCCCAATCATCGCCACTCGTTCCTTCTCAGGGACAATCCCACATAGCGAACTCTCTACCATACCCTTTACAAACTAATGCCGCTCATCACCTACCTTCCTCTGGACACCCCTCCCCCCTTTCACATTCTTCGCACTCGCCAACAAACCCTCACACCCCCCATTCGCCTCATCTTCAAGGCCCTGCATCGAACCATACTTCGCTACCTCCATCTGGCTCGTTGGTGTCACCAACAGGATCGTCGCCTCATTCCCCTCACCCACCTCACCACCTTCCTTCGTTCGCCCCTCATATGACTCTACCACCCCCTCGCGGGCCGATCGTGTCTTCGTCAGGGACCCACTTGCCGCCAATCAACACTGCGTATGGCGGGGACGAGGGAAGATCCTCGAGGTTGCCTCACATACAAACGATGGAGGCGTGGCATGCGAACGGTGATGGTGCTCATCCTCGTGCCAATGGGCGGGTGCAGACCCCTGTCGAGGGTGGTGATGAGAAGAAGGGTGCTGCGAAGCGGAAACGAGCGAAGGGAGTGCCGAATGATCAGGATGAAGATGGGCGGGAGGGAAAGAGGGAGAGGACAGATCCTGGTCTTGATGTCGTCAATGGCCATGGGTCCCTCAAAGGGATTGTGATATCAAGGGACGAGGACGCAGAGGAAGAAGAGGATGAAAGGGCCGCAGCTGCGGCTGTCGTCCTACGTGGAGAGATTACGGACGAAGACGAAAAGTGAAAATGAGTTTCACCAATCACAAGGGTTCCAGTGTGGTATTTTCCTGCTTATCGTTCCGTGTTTCTATATTCCTATTTTCATATGCCTTCCCCTCGTTGTATTTGCCAAATGCCAACGTTTTTGACGTTGAGCAGCTAACTGTCTTATATGTCCCCCAACCCTCCTCGACGATATATATTATTCGATACCCTTTCGTCGATCCTACCCTTTGAGACTTCTTTGTGACCTGCTTATGTAGCCCTTGTTGCGTATCATACCCTCCCATCGTTTGCTGTCAATGCTTTGACTACCTTCGGTTTTGATCCCCCGTCCTCCCCCAGTTAATGTTCACGTTCCTGTTCAGCGTATACGTATTTGTCGTCGTTATGCATCCGTAGGTTTACGATGCTCGGTTTGAACCAGAAACAAAGACGAATGCGCTCGGTACCGTTTATGTGGCCGGCGCGAATCTTGCTTGGAGTCACCGAGACGTGACATGAGGACCAGAATCTTTCACTGGACGCAAAGCCTGCTCACTTTCCTTTCACTTTCCTGCACTTTCCTCGCACTCTTTGTTCCGGGCATATATACTAATCATTATAATTTTGTTTGCAAGGAGAATCACCATCGTGTATTGAGTGGCTCAAAGACCTTTGTCGAGAAAAAGGAAAGTGCAGGGAAAGTGAGCAGGCTCTTGCCTCCAGTGTTTTCAACCTTTTCGTGAAAGCATGGTGGTCGGCTCTTGGTCGGCATTGTCATCAGCTTTCACTATCGTGAGATATTTACCATAAGGCACCGGTTATCACCTTTTCGTGATCAACTTCAAGGCAATCAGACGGGGAGCTACTCCAACGACGGCAAAAAGAATTGAAAAAAGGGCCTCACTGGGAATTGAACCCAGGACCTCTCGCATCGGAGTATACCCAAAGCGAGAATCATGCTACTAGACCATAAGGCCGCTGATATACGGCAAAACGTTCAGCATGATGATTGGAATAAAAGCCTTCCAGGTGTGTGGCTTAACCCCTGCTTAACCCTGAGAATTTTCGAAGTCCGACTGCCATTGCACGAAGCTTAAGGCTCCGACGTGTGAGGACCTGGAGAGCACCTCGCACCTCGCATTCGCCCTGATTCTTCCTCTGCCCTTAATATAGAACGTGAACTACGGTATTTCTGACCTTCGATATTTCTGGTCATCGATCTCAGATATGGTAGTGTTAATTCCACCCCACTTCGGGCCTCATGGCCAGCTCCGAGCCCGTTTATCGACTAACGTCGTCTCCTGACACCGAGGAGATCCCTCTAGAAGCGTTGCAGGGTTTTCAAGAGGCTGGAAAGAATGATCGTGATGGAAGTTCTACGACTGGAAGGGGTAAGTGCTGTTTTTGACAACTGGCAGAACTCTGAGTCTTACCATCGGAACGTAGCTGGTGTTGGTCAGTGGTGCAGCTTGGCTCGCTACCTAATCGCAAAATTCCCTCTGTTCATAGAACGGACTGACAGAGTTATGTCGTCTTGCTATTATTTCCAAGAGTGGCCACACTCCCTACGCCGTGAATTCTAATTTCTGACCGGAAAACAATGAGAGGGCCCATCGAATGAATACCCACTTTAGGGCCGTAGGTATCGAGCTCTATCAACCCAGCCTAATGCTTACCCGACTAAGGAGATCCGCTTCTCTTGAGTCTTAGCTTCAGCTAGAGCCCAGGATCGAAGCATTCAAAATTTCCTGGGGAAAGGCAGTTGTTATCGGTCAGTGAGCATTTCGCGTCTTCCTCTGTGCTTCTCAGCCGTCTTCTAGACTGTGAAGCGAGGCATAAATACTGCCTGACTTTGCGTCGATGCGACCCGAACTCTCCTTGGCTACCTGGAACCTCTGCAGGCATGCGACCAAGCTCATCATCGGATAATCGAAGCCCAGGTGGACAGAGGCCTCCATCCTACGTTCTCGTTGGCGACCCAACCCCACCGCCAGACTATTCCGCGGGTTTGAGACAGGGGGAGCGCGTTATTCAGTCTACGCCTGGTCCTTCCTATTCTCAATCAATGGGAACGGTCAGGAGGGATGCTGGAGGAGACACAGTCGTTTTGGTGGGACAATCGGATGGAATCTCGACGCCGGTCTACGAGCAAGGTGGCGTCGTGAGTGGCTTCATTGAATTGGATCCCACTCGACGGGATAACGTTGCGGAGGTCTCTGTCAAGGTCAGTTCTAACCTATGGTTGGTTATATTCACTAACAGGAATACTAGCTTACAGGCTGTTTGAGGCTTCGTCTCCCCGGAAGCGCATCGCACACCGTAAAGTTGATTCGGGAAAAACGTGTCCTATGGGCATTTGATTCGTCTCAACCCTCTGTTTGTTCGCCCACTCTACCCTTTGAATGCACGATACCATCCAAGGTCTCGGGTATCACTCATGGAGGGGCATCGGAGTCGTTGCCTCCTTCCTTTGAAAGTGGCGCTCTGGTCATCGGCCCTTCTTCCCTCACCGCTTACTGTAGATACACTGTTGTGGTGAAGATCACACGGTCGTTCCGGCGACTTGGGAAAAGAGTTACTATGAGTAGGACAAAGCGGTGAATATCAGTTTCTCCATGCTACATCAGTGCTAGATATTCACACATCTTTCCAGTATAGATATTCCATTCAGCTATAATCCACGGCCAAGACCTCCGTTTCGTACCTTTTCATCTCTGGACTCGCTTTCCGGCCTCAAGACCGCTCCAGATGAATGGCACCAAAGATTGACTGTGATACATCCTTGTAGGGACGAGCTCCCCTCCGTCATCTGCCATGTATAGATTTCATGCTTGTTATTCGATGAACAGATACTGAGTATCTCCAATTAGCTCCTCATCCCTTCCAAAAGGGTGTTCGCGCTCACCGATCCCGTTCCGTTCCATGTTCAGCTCTCTAGCTCTCATCTTCCGCATCGAGAACTCTATACAACTCGAGGGAGTACCCGCCATACACCTGAGCCCTTCGTACACGTACACGTCCTTCGTCAAATCCTTCTCGAAGTGAATGGGAAGAAAGATTGGAGGGAAGCCATAATCGGTCACGGAATTCTCAGCCGAGTTCAACCCGACGGGGGTACTGAAACCTCAATAGCGGGAGAAGAGAGTCTCAACTGGGAAGGACAGATTAAATTTCTTGAGAATTTGGCGTGTCCCAGCTTCGCGGCGGGAGGAATTACAGTCAAGGTTAGTAGTACTAGTGAATATGCCGGGTTGCTCAAATAACAGCCGCTGACTTCTATGACACACTGCAGGATTTTGTCGTCCTAACTGTATCTCCGGGCTTGGCCGTGTCAGAGATGTGCTCTATTCAGCGAGTCCATCGATCTGTTGTTCCAGTCAAGTTGATAACAGGCTTGTGATCTGATGTCTGCTTCTCTTCATTCTCTACTTCGCTGTACTGTTCCTCGTGTCCACCGTTGTGTTGCTAGAGTCCGAGTCTGATATTGTCTGCGTCGTCGATTTGGACTTGTAACAAGATTTTGTACAAACTCATAGCCTTGGCAAGTGGTACTCCCCTTATAAGCCCTTATAGCGCCCCCTTACTACGACAGTAACGTACGTTGAATCACTGTCTCTAAATGCGATGAGTCAACTCCGATTTGAATTTTGCGCCACGTTTTGTTTCGGTGAGTTGTCGGCAGTTGAAGTTGCACTGGCCACACCCGCCTTTATTATCGTGGGTTCCGATGTTCTCTTTCTACTTTAGCTTATCTCTTCCGAGTAGGCCATGGAGGCCCTCGTGATGCTGGCCCAAGAGTGATGAAACAACCGGCAGCTTTGAGGGGCGTGAGAAAAATGACATTGTAAGGCCCGGAATGACAAACAGACGATGCAACCGTCCTCACATCCGAACCCCCATCAAGGAGCACCTCTCTGGCCACTCCGTCCGTGCGTCAATAGGAGGATACCCAGACACTCTCAATAAATCGTCTATGTCGCCCTGCTGAAGGACTCAAGCCATGGAATCTCACTCATCCCCACCTTATTACCCGGCTCATGTAACAGACCCTTCCACTTCCCGCCGCCCACCGTCGAGGAGAATGACCGAGGCTGATGATGATTTTCTGGTTTCATGGCTTGCAAAGAATAACCCAGATGGGATTGGGAGGAGAGGGCAACAGATGTATGAGAAGCTTGTGGTAGAGGTGTGTTATCAGTCGTCTACTCAAAATTGTCGCGGAACGTTTCTCAGCTTCTGGGGCTTTTGGGCTTCGGTTGTTGGGTACTCGTAGTTTGGGGCTCTTTCAACTCATTCAACTTTCTATTAGCATCCAATCGGTACAGATATATGCTCAAGTACTTGGCGAGAGCGGTACATTCGAAACAGGGAATACTTCGACCCTCTCATACGCCAGTATCTCATCGACAACATGCAATCAGACGATATCGCTGACAGCTCCTCGAAGATTCCACCTGCGATTCAACCCTTTACATCAGAGGATGAAGCAGTTCTGGTAGAGTATCTTGCCAAGAACGCCTCCCCTGATGGGAAAGGTCTAACGGGTCGTGTGTATTATCAAAACCTCAGTGCCAACGTAAGTCTTGGACGACCGTTCATCGTTCATTGCTTTATGGATTTGAACTCGCTTGTAACTACAGGCAGATGACGCATGCCCGGGGGGGACAAAACATTCCTGGCAGACATGGCGGGACCATTATGTTTCTAATGCCGAGAGGTTGAACAAGCTGATCGAATCGTACCGCACAACCCATGGCATAAGACCTAGCCCACGTCAGAGCGCTAATCGATCAGTTTCGGCCAAATCCCAGCAAGATCTCTTATTTGCGGGGTTTCTCGCAGAAATGAAAGCCGAAGGTGTGACAGCCTTTGGTGGCAAGACAGTGTATCAAAGGCTGTTGGACGATGTAAGTAAACGTCAACCCCCTTCTCCATGTCGGACATAGCAGTTTCATTGTCAACTTACCATATCTGGCTCAATCTCCTCTTTTTCAAGGAACACGGCAAGTGGCCATGGGGGAAGCAGCGCAGCCTTCATGGTTGGAAATCCAGATACCACGCTTACAAGCCCGTGCTTGAGCCTATGATCAATGCGAGATTTGCTGAAATAACCTCAACGACGTCACCTCGCCCTTCATCTCCAAGCCCACCCGACAGCGCGACGTCACCCGATAGCTCGGAAAGCTTGGAGGACGAGACTGTTACACCAACGCAGGCCCCCGAGCAAAACTCACGTACACCAGGCCCCGACGACCGTTTTCCATCCACTTCCTACCCTCTCACTTTACTATCCCCAAAATACACCGACAGCGACAGCCCATCTTCGCCACGTGTTGAAAGCACGACAGGGCTGTCGCTCTCTCGATATTCCGAGACGAGACCGGATCCAGACGACCCTCTTTCGCAAGCCGTTGCTGCGGTAATATCGCAAGTGCCAACATACGGACTATTTACCCGCCAAGATGATACGGTTCTTTTGAAGTACATGGTTGAGAGAAGCATCCAAGCCAGACCTGGCAAGAAGAAGCGGCTTGGCGACATCTTCGACGCAATTGACGTTTTTCAGGACCTTACGAAAACGGTGCCGGTAAGCATTCATTCCCTTAATCTTTCCCCATGAAGCAGGGGTGAGGTGATCTATGACAGGAGCTAATAGCTCTTTCTCTATTGCTCAGGCTGCTGGGAGGCACACAGCTCAGGCCTGGAGAACACGTTACATGAAGCACAAGTTACAGTTTGACCGCCTTGTCGATTCGATGAAAGGCCCAATTGAGCGCGCACGACGCCAGGCGTCCAGCCGTGATTCTATATCAGACATATCTTATGGCACAAAGAGACAAATAGGGGAGGATGATCTGTCTAGGCGACCGAAAAGAGCAAAGATACCGGGGAGAGGCGGGAATCGGAAACACGCTGAAGAGAGCCCCGAAATGCTCGCTCATCGCACGATTCGAGGTATGTTTCAATGGGTCTTACT